CATGCAAAGACAACATGATATGCAATAGAAAATGAAAATGAAAATAAAATGTATATGATTGTCATAACATTCCTGTCTATGACCTACAAAATCTGGATGTTTAATGAATGCACTTAGCAATAATTCCAACATCCCTATATCAAATATTTGAATAAAATTATGGACAGGGTATCAAAGTTTTTCAAAGTAATATTAATGTAAGCGGATCTTCTGTCATTAAGTTCACAATGTAACAAAAATAGACGCTTCAAATTCATTTAAAACATCTTAAACGTTCTAAAAAATCCATAGTACATAAAAATTGTACCGAAAAATCATATCGAAAAAATATAACGAGAATATGTCCGTTTCAAACGAATTTGTGATTAAAATAATGCCTATTTGAATATGCTTTGCATTGGAAACCGCAGCTACCCACTGTTAATAGCGAAGTCCCAACCGCGGGATCACTCAGATTGTTAAATCCCCGTTTATCCCCTCCCCCTCTATTTGCTCTATTTGTGTTGGCAGCATTGCCGTTCTGTTCAACCGGCGAAAAATCAAAACAGATATGCCCTGAAAACCGTCGAAGCAAGGACTTAGTCTCAAAGAATGCTACACAACAACGTTAAAAGAATTTTGTATAAATATACTCCAAAACTTGCTATATAGTATCATGCATATACAAGTACTTAAAGTGGATTGGTCAACGTAGGGTGGGCACATCTCCCATTATAATTTTAAATACCGATAGAAACGGTAAAACTGTATTATTAAAAGAATTCTTGATTAAAAGAAATGTTAATAACGTTATAGGTGATTTAGTATACAAATTTATATGCTGAACGATCATGTTTTATTCCATAACAATTTATAATCTGCTATATAAAATATAATATAGGATCATGTATCTCAGACAACAATATTCATATGCAAGTCTTTCGTAGTCTCCTGGGTATCCGGACATTTGCCCCCTCGGAAGTTTGCTGTGGTGGACATTTGCACCCTTCATATCCTTGGAAGGGGCGTACATTTGCCCCCACCCCCCACCCCGTTTTAAAAAAGTTGAAATATTACATTGTTAAATTGATACCAAACTTCATCTTCTATTGTCGAAATTCCGTTGTGCTTCAATACACAAACTTTCGCGCAAATTTGTGAAAACAAAATAACATCCATAAATAAATGAAATAGAACGTTTCCATTATTAAATTACATACTTAAAATTTATACAAGAGATGCCCTCTGACATATGACAAGTTGCCATAGCAAAAAAAAACAGGAAGCAAACGTCCGAGGGGCCAACTGTCCGGCAGCAAATGTCCTAGAAACAACAATGTCTGATACGAAATATTATCAACATAATTATTCATTCTTTTACATACCTTCCATTACAGACCCATTGACTTTATTATTGACAAATTACACACTTAGCTTTTTTGATTATTATTTTAAAGGGAAAAGCAGAGTTAAATGCAAATTATATATTTAAACAGAACGTTAATAAAAGCTTACTTGTATATGCGCTGTGTTAAAAGTAATCTTGTGCATTACATCAAATGCAGCTCAAGCCAATAGTTTAACGGTGTGTAAGTTGGATATCGGCCTCGTACATCGATCTTTCTGTTTAGGAAAGACCTGGTCACGAATTTCATGAAACACCTCGAGCGCTACGCGCTCTCGGTGTCACATGAAATTCGTGACCAGTTCTTTCCTAAACAGAAAGACCTCGTACTCGGTCGATATCCTATACATATTGCCTTCTTAACATAACATTAGAAATGACCATTGCAAATGTTCTCTTGAAAAATATTCAACAGAGACAGTGTTTTAAGATTTTTTTTTTTCAGAGCATCATGTGACAAGCATCAATTAGGGATTTCATTTGTTGTATGCAATGAAAGTATGAATTGAACGATGAGACATGCAAATGCACATATTTTTATACATTTTTATATCCACTAAACAATTTTACAACTGGTAAATTTTATACTACAAAAATAGTAAGTAATAATTAAGATAGACAGAAAAGAATAAATAATTTTGTAAACATGAGTTACTTCCCCTTGAAATAGAGAAAACCTGAAACCCAAAAGAACACCCTAAACAGCAAAATTATGAAATGTTGCAGGATCAGGTTTATTAAGCCATGCAAAGTAATGGTAAAGTATTCATAAAAAGTTAGATGGCCATGTGACAGCAGTAATTGCAGTAAATCAAATAGCTTTCAACATCCGGATACTGGTACACTTTGTAAAAACAATCAATCTGTGCAATAGATAAACGTAATATGGATAAAATCAATAGGATAATCGTTTACAACAGTTCCAATACCAATCTTAATACTCATTTACAGGTGAACGTTCTTCTTGTAGGAACATTTTGAAAATATATAAATGAATGAAAAAGAATACAGCATCAATGTAGACCACAACGATATTCGAAATTCGGGCTTTAGTATTGCCAATAAAGCTAAGGGACAAGCTGCAATTTCGTGAAAATAATATCACAATGCAAATGCTTTTTACATAATGTTATTAAATACAAATATAACAACATACATGTATTAGTTTACTTGATTTTTACGAATCAAAATAAAACTAATTAACACAACAAGACATTAACTGCTAATGATAACAGCTCCTTCCATAGGCCAAAGTAAAAGCATTTCATAAGAGCCAATAAAATCATACATCTGAGTCTTGTACAAATTGAAGCATTACTCGTTTATAAACAGACTAGAGACCCTGGTCCGAATCCTGTAAAATTAAAATTTATAATTCTTTGTGCCACTGCCATATTTTGCGATTCATGTTTGTGCGTGCATATGTTATAGTGAATTTAAAAAATCCTTTTGTTAAAACCCACAAGTCCAATTTCAACGCAACTTGCCAGGATTGTTCCTTGGGTGAAGGGTGTCATAAATTTAACAATGAATTTTATTCCTGATAAGTTACAGTAAAACATAATATTTTTTAGGAAAATGCTATGTTCAAGGGGACATAATTCTGAAAATATTGCATTTAGAGTTATGAACCTTAACACATAAAATGTGGTTGATGATATGGAACGTATGTTTGAAGTTGATAACTCAAGAAAAAGTTATAGAAAAAAATATTTAACTGCACAAAATCTTTAATCTGAAATCTGGACGCGGACGCCTGGCTGAATTGGACAGCTGTCCATATACTTTGAATAGACAAGCTAAAAATTTAATACTAATAAAAAATTGAAACTCGGTTAAATAATCTTGCTGAATCAAGACATGTATCAATGGTTTAGTTGTATATACATGTAGAGGATATTGAATGAGTGTAAGTTCAATACTGAATTTAATGCACTCGTTGAATAAAATTATATTATGCGAGCCTCTGGCATACATAATATTATTTTATTCAACGAGTGCAATAAATTCAGTAATGAACTTACACGAATTTAATATTCTATTTATCACATACACAATATAAATACCGTTTTTAAAAAGTGAAATAAGAGTAATTTTCCATTGACGCACCTATAGTATAACGCTAACACTCAGCGTTTCTTTACATTATATTTGTATAACGCTAATAACGTCACGTCAAAATATATGCACGGCCGCGCAATAGCATTTTTACGGAGTCTCAAAATCGGCACGGGTGTGTGAAAAATACATTTATGAAAATGATGCAATATTATCTTTCGAGATAAATTCCGTAAATATGTTAGCTAGTCGCTTTAAGGACCCTTCGAATTTGGGTTACTTAGATTCCAGTGTCTACAGACAATTGTTCATTTTCGGTAGTTGTCGAACAAAGAAACACTTATAATACAAAAGAATACTTCGTAAATTAGATATTAAATAACACAAGTACCATACAAAAGTGTATTCTTATATATCTCAATTGTCAGTAAAGCAAACCTTTATAATGCAAATAAAGACTAAAGTGAAAATTATAGTATTTAAGAGGCTGTATAGAAGTAATGTTAAGCAAAAAAATTGTGTCCATTTAATACTCAAGTTATTGAATATATCACAACTTTATTTTAAATTATCAAAAGACATTTATGCAATCATTCGTATATATATGTATATGTTCAGTATGCTACTGTTCATGCGCATATGCTAGTCACATTCTTGATCGTAAAGGCATATCAATTCTTCATATAACTTTAAACCATCATTTGCATTACACGGGATCTGTAGATTTGGCTTAAGAAGGTATGCCAGTTCATGGAATTCTGCTCTCTCTTTTTGTTTGGGGGTAGCATACATTTCTTGGCAAAGATTTAGTTCAATATCGTCAACACTTTTCCCCATTTCGTATCCACCAAATAATTCTGGAACGTAAAATAATATATCTGGCTTACCAGAAGGAAGTTCGTTTACACTTTTCTGAGGTCGGATATTGTGTAAATTCCAGTGTTTTGCAATACGGTCTAGTTCTGCTTGCAGAACATCCATAAGGCAAAAACGGACACACTCTATATTTATCATGCCATTACTATGACAACTGCCTGATAAAGCCTGTCTGAGAACAGCAACCTTTCTCAGTCAGTGACTTGAGAACACTATATTCCTACGCAAGATCAGCACTGATGATGTTTATTGTTGGTATTGTTTAATTGACTTTGCTGAATATTTATGATAATACACAGTAAATAAATTGTTAAAGCAAATTGTACCAAAAATTGCGTTGTGTTATAAAATTATTGGTAAAAACCCTAGGACTACTGTTTTGGCGTATAACCCTCTTGTGGTTACCGTACTTTCAGAAATTAGCGCCCCGAATTAAAAAAATAAGATGCAAAATCATAATAGAGGCATGATAAAAAGAATAACAGGTTACTGTCTTTTGAGAAAGGGATTTCTCAGACTCGGCTAGATATGGTCCGGAAGGGGCTCGGCAAGCCTCGCCCCTTCCAGGACCATATCTAACCTCGTCTGAGAAACCCTTTCTCAAAAGACAGTAACCTGTTATTCTCTATGTATCGGATTAAGCGATTAAATTTGCCAGTATCTCGCAAATCTTTCACTTTATTTATCCACCAGTGTATTCCTTGACGTCGCAGGTAGCTCCACCAGGCTTCGATTCGTTGGTTCGAGGTACTTCTCCTAAACATAGGCTATTGGTTCCAGACATTGAATCATTGTGGTTCCGTCGAAGTAAGGGTTGTAGAAAACTGATGTGTGTGTTTTCAGTGCCACAGTCAGCTCTAACCATACGAGGGACAAGTTTTAAAGTCTTAATCGATTCAATATAATAATCAGCGATGCATTTTGGATCGTTATTACTTGCCCCAACTTCTAACCAGATAATTCTACGACTATACCCGTCTATTGCTGCATGAATACACAAACCAAATTGTTTAAGTTTGTCGTATCCGTCAACGTGACAAATATAATTGGGGCCTTGTGCACAATATTTCATTCTAATTAGCCTGTGGGCCTTTCTCAAGCGTACCCCTTCAGGATCTATTTCTCTAATTAACCGCATTACATCATGCCTCTCAACTTTTAATTTATAGTCGTACATTAAACGACGCCACATACTTCTATAGCCGATACAATTTCCACTGTACTGAAGTTCTTTCTCTATCAAATCTTTAATAACGTCATCATTTGCGGTAAGAACATCTCCTCGGCGGCATAAATTATTCGCCTTCAATATTCGCTTCAAGTGCCGTATGCTGATTTTAATATTGTGTTGAGAAAATAAAAGAAGAACGATTTCAAAGTACTTAAAACCATCCCTGAAATATTCTTTCACCAAATTTAGTCTAGACTGTTTATTTTGATTCACTGGTGGTGTTTTATGAGGTACAACAGCTCCTGCATGGCTTATCAGAATTGTTGAGAACAGTACAACCCTTGCACTCCAAAGCATTTCCATCTGACCTGCAATTTACAAAAAAAGATTGATAAATATTACTACATTAATTATGCTTTTCATTGATATTTTCCCTTTCCATTGTGTAACATGCATAAGTAGCACAAAGGGATCGATACTTGCGCCGAGTTTTGAGTTTTATTTTTACCTTTATTCAACTGATGTTATAAATTCATTAATATTTAGAACCAGCTGATGACGTTATTTCTGGCATGCATGAAGGCGCCAGAATTACATCATATAGAAGTTATATGAGTTGGTGATAAAATTGGGATAAAATTGATTTATCTATCTCCGATGTAAAAAATACTTAAATAAGACAGAAACGTACGATACTTGAAATAAAAATGCATTCTTCATTATTTTTTGTTTGTTAATTACCATAGTGTATGGAGGATGTTGAATAGAACAGCCAAATGTGAAAATTGGCAGCGGAAATAATATCCGCTTGAAAAAAAAGCCTCAATAATCTCCATTACTTTGCTCTTTGTGGTCATGTTAGAAACAAAATAACATCGATCTGAGCGGTCTTTATCGGCTATTAAACACCTATTTGTCGTTTTGATGCAAAATGTTACCACTCAGGAAAACGGCCTTCCTGGTTAATTTTGTGTTTAATAACCGATAAACACCACTCAGACCGATGTTATTTCTCAAGTATATACATGTAACTTTTAAGATACACCAGCACATATAGGATTTGATTTAATAAAAAACAACATTACATACCCTCTGTTACTGGTTTTTGTCTTGTGCTGCGTAACAATGTAACTTTTCACAGAAGTGTACTTTTGACATCCATTTTGCACCATGTGTTCATTATTTCCCGCCACTGGCAGATAATAAGTTATAGATAATAGGTAATAAGTAATAAGTAATAAATTATAAATAACGGGGTATATGTGCTAAATAATGATTATTGGTTTTAAGTAATAAGTAATAATTATTAAATAATAAATGTCCCTCCAGGGCTTCCGTACATTTGTTCTTTAAAGTTGACACGCTTTTACACGTTCAAACATTTTGTAAATTTTGTTGTTGTTGTTGTTGTTTATGAACAGAACAGAAAGACATTTAATTAGACATGTACATACGTATACCATCTTAATACATAAACATCAATGATAAAGATGTCACATATCTAGAACATATTACAAAAGTTTTATCATATGCATTTTAACATATATTTACATATAATACATACATGTATAACAAAGACAGTAAGGTAATAATTACTATAGCATAGAGTCATATAAGTTTTAAATGAATTTTGAGTAACAAATGCCTCCTTCATATATTTGCACAATTTAACAATATTGTTTTTATTTGAAGAAGTAAGCAAATCATGAAATTTAACAGATAGATTGACAAAATAAAAAATGTTTGATATATTTCTTTTTTATTTGAGAATAGCAATGACATATACAAATAAAGTGGAATTCACCTTCAATATCCCTTGTGTTACTACATAAACAATATCTTTCGTTTCTTGGTAAATTATTACTGGTATGCTTCTCTATTTGTATTCTCAAGGATGGAAGGAATTTCTAAGTTTAACCAAATCAGTGCGTAATATCTTTGGTAATAAATCTAAGTATATTTCATATTGAAGGGTAGTTTTAAATATTCTATACAAATTAAATTAATATTTCCATACAGTATCTATCAATCTACATTTAAATTCACAAATAAATGCGTTAACATTTAGAGAACTAGGGTTTTCAAATGCATTTGTGAATCCGTAATTATCTTAAATCCTCTTAGCATGAAAAATCAAAATAATATAACCGTTATTACAGTGGTTAGCGCTTATTTTATAAACAAATCTTACACAATTATTAATCATTCGAGCTAATGTTTAAACGGGAATATTTATCCCCTTACATAGCGGTTTATATGCTACGGATATCTTCCCAACTCCATATCCAGCTTAACGGATATCTTCCCAAGTCCATATACAACTTAACCTAACATGTAATATTCGTTTGAAAAACTTCAAATGAATTCGTTTTAAAACTTTAGACTTTGTTAAACTCCATATTTTAGAAGCGTTTCCTAAAATTGAACCAACAAATTAAAGCATCAAACAATTAGCAATTATTTCCAGGTTCTAAGTTACATGTTTTACATTTATATAATAAAGTAGAAATAGCTTGAAGACCTTTACCAGCCAAATGTTCTTGGTTCAATGTATATCTACCCGTATAATTTATAACGTTATTTAATAATCAAAACTGTCTACTACCTCGATATTATGGCATTCATAGGTACACGACTCATTTTGGCGCAAACAAACAAAAACCAACATAATTTTTGTTTCGGACGTGTTTACTTTTAGACCCAAAGTATTGCAATATAAAAATAAATTATCTTAATCTAAATGTGTTCGAATTTACCTAAAAATAGCCATATCATCAGCAAACAAAAGTAATATAAGTACAGTGTCTTCTATATTCAATTAATATATATCTATATTCAATTTATATTCTTTTTATTTATGTTTTATTTTATTTTTGTCATAATGCACAACCCTACAATTTCATCGAAGAAAGTTAAATATCATTTCACATTTCACTGCACTTACTATACATTGATGCAATTAACTATTTACGCATTACGATATTTAAACAAGTCATAAAACATACCATACCAGGATGTTTAACCAACGTGGAAATTTATCCGGATATCTTATTCATATTTAATAATGAAAATCAGTTTTATGTTTTCTTTGCCGGGGAAAATTTTGGTATATATATAGAGACACGTAGATAGACAAAACATTACGGCTAAATGATAAATTTAACAATATTTTCTCTTTTCTATTTTGCTACAATATCAATATCTATGACACATACTTTCTTCAAAAAAGAAAATACAAAAACACATTATTAGGATTAATAATCATAAATAAATCCGTTCTATATCTTTGATAGTAGTTGATCAAAATCGCTCAGGAACTAAATCACTTCTATCAAAAGAAAGCGTAATTTCTAATATTTCTTTTCTTTGGTTGTAATAAATATCGGTGCAAAATCAATAATTAAAAAAACTTAAAAAAATTAATTCGAAGGATCGATTGATTGAATTAATTAATCAATCAATTAATTAATCAATTTGATTAATAAATAAATAAATAAATAAATTAATTAATTAATCAATAATAGAAATCAAGTGACCCCGTTTAATTTGATTATCAAAACAAAACTCTTAGCTATCATTGATTCTGTTTAATTAATTATTGATTTATAATAGAAATCAAGTGACCCCGTTTAATTTGATTATCAAAACAAAACTCTTAGCTATCATTGATTCCGTATCATGAACACATTAAATGTTTTGACTTTATATAAGAGCATGATAATAGTGTAAACACACAGGACAGCAATGAAAAATCCATATATTGTCATTATAAAAAAAGTGGGCAAGATTTTGTTTATGTTTATTAATTTTCTTACATACA